GGACGCGGACGCGGGGCGCAACGCGTGGCTGTCGTACGAGCTGGTGCAGGCGCCGGAGCCGGCGCTGTTCCGCGTGGGGCTGCACAGCGGCGAGGTGCGGACGGCGCGGGCCGTGTCGGAGAGGGACGCGGCGAAGCAGCGGCTGGTGGCCGTGGTGAAGGACCACGGGCAGCCGGCGCTGTCGGCCACGGCCACGCTGCACGTGGTGCTGGCCGAGAGCTTGCAGGAGGCGCTGCCGGAGCTGAGCGAGCGGGCGGCGGGCGCCGACTCGCCGGCGGAGCTGCAGTTCTACCTGGTGCTGGCGCTGGCGCTCCTCTCCGCCCTCTTCCTGCTGAGCGTGGCGCTGGCCGTGCTGGCGCGGGTGCGCCGGGCCGGGCCGCCCGCCGTCCTGCGCTGCCTGGGCGCGCAGCGCTTCTCCGTGGCCGGCGCCGCCTTCCCGGCCGACTTCTGCGAGGGCACCTTGCCCTACTCCTACAACCTGTGCGTGGCGCCGGGCCGCGCCGTCGCCGAGGGCGCTTGGCCGCCGCCGCCGCTGCCCAGCCTGGCCGCGGAGGAGCTTCTCGGCGCGGAGCCCTGCGGGAAGAGGAGCCCGACCAGCAGCGCCGGCGCGGGAGAGCCGCCCGCGGACGCCGAGGCCCCGCAGGTCTGTAAGCCCGCGCAGTCCTTGTCTCTGAGCCTTTCCTAACCTCACGCCGAGGGGAGTGGGCTCTTGCTCGTCCTTCGGCCGCTTGGGCGCCTGCTGACGCGCTGTCATTCCACGAACGAATGAAAGGGCCAACGCTAAGGCTGTGCTATGTGCTAGTTGTTTTCTTTTTTGTGATAGAGCCCCGAACAGAGGGGGCACGTGCATCGCTGCCTGCTGCTGAGTTGCTCTCGAGTGGAGCAGCAAGTCCTAAGTGTAAGCACGGTCTGTACCGTGTAAGGCTGTAAAAACAAAACAAAACAAACCCGAAAAAACAAAGTGGGGCGAAATGGAGGCTGATTGAGAGCGGCCTCTGGTGTGCAGCCAAAAAGCAACGAAGTCGAGAGCGAAGGGCCGTCCCTGAGGAGGACTCCTTGTGAGGGGGGATCTTCATTGCTGCCTTGTGCTATGGCTGGGGGTTTGGGAAACTAATGTGGCTGGTGGCGTTCCCGTGTGACACACTTTTGATCTGCGGAAAGGGTGAGGGAAAAGTCGTGCAAGCACGACTGCTGCTCATTGCTGTGCAACTGGTGGTGCAGATTGTGCTTTTGAACTAACGGGCCAAGACTCGTAATGCTCTGCACGGAATATTAAGAGCACTTTATCTCTACATTGTATCACCGTAACAAAAACATTAATCCCTGCGGTAGAAATAACACAACCACGGGAGGCGTGTCATTTCTTTCTGGTCGTCATCGCCCCTTCCTCGCCGATTCCTTCACGTTATCGAATTAATTGTTTAGGTGTAAATGCCTATGAAGCATGCAGACCCTTAATTTATGTGGCCTCATGGGAAATCACCCATTCAAGTCCGTTAACTTTCCTGTTTCGGTATTCGCTGCCTCTGTAGGTCTTCCAACAGTTTAATGATGTAGCCGTTAGGTCAGTGTCGTCACTGAAGCACTCCATTGCTCTCATCCCGTTCTCAAATACTGTCGGGACTTGACGACTAGCGGGAAAATAGGCGCAGAAGAAAAACTGGGAGCAACGCAAAGGTGTCGTATGGCTGCAGTCACCCTCCACCCACAGAATGGGCGGTATGAACGGGAGTATTTCAAGGAAAGTTCCTGAAGCGTGGGTTCATGAGCCTGATATGCTTATTTCTCCAGTAGAGTAGAGTGTGTGTCCGAATATGACGTTTTGTATTTCAGAGCCTGTTTTCTCTTGCTTTCCTTGTAGCAGTCATTCAAGCAAGACGAATACAGAAAGTCGTGTTAGAGACTGTGGTACGGGCTTAGATTCTCAGTTGATTGACCCCACCTTCTGAGCCTTTAAATGTCTAATCTCAGCCCATATTAGTGGTGTAGATAATTTCCAGCGTGTTCCTTATTGTTGTCCCACAAACGGGGTTGGTTTTCCCGGCCCGCAAGCCAATACCACACAGAGTCGAGGTATTTTTAAATTAATTTCATGGATGCACATGAACGGGTGCCTGTCTCAAGACAGCACACCTTTGTCTCAAAACTCCCCACGTTTATCTAATTAAATGATACATATTCATTATTATTTCCCTTAACGATTGGTCCTTTCTCCTTCGCCTGTCACGTAAATTACTGCGCAGACTCGGTCTTCTTCCTTCATGGTCTTCTTTTGAGTAGGTGGTCTCATTTGAGTAGGTGGTCAACGAGTCGGTGGTCGCGATCTCCCCCTGTAGGAATTACCTCTTACCTACTTCTTACTCTGTCTTGGCAGTTACAGGTGGTTCTTCAAGGTTTATCGACCAGACCACAATCCATTACCTTTTCTGACAGAAACATGAAGCCCCATTGTCTGATAGTGAGTTACTAAACCTTAATTATAGTGTATACTTTTTGTTTCCTTATTTTCAATATTAACCGATGAGGGCTGTAGCCAGGACTTTAGCAGTTCCCTAGTTATTTCAATCATATTATGCATATTAATTGATAACAATTTCCCCCCTCTGAGACTTGTGAAGTGTCGATATATTTTAACAAGTCTCACTTTCTATCTCTTATCACTAATACATATGGTTGAGATGCCTGTCTCATGATGAAACTCTTGAGACATCCAAACAATATAGAAACAAAAATCACTGTAATAACCAAAATGATTAGGTTCTGTAGTAAACTCTGTAGCCATCCAGTCAGGGAGAATCCGAACTCATGCGGGATTTTATTCAAGCACCCTGTCTCCATTGCCTCTCTTATATTCCTACAAGATTACTTTACCACTGGACTGTGGATTCCAAGGGGCATGTAAATTCCCTTTAATACCCCCAAAACTAGAAATTCCCTCTACGATTTCTACAGTGAAATGGGGTCCTATATCAGAAGACAGACCTTCTGGAATATCAAACCTAGGGAAAATTTCTTTTGATAAGGCCTTAATGATTTCTCTAGCCTTCTTGGTGCGACATGGAAAGGCCTCTGGCCAACCAAAAAAGGTAGCTACTCTCATCAAGAAATATCTGTATGAAGTACACCTTGGTAGTGACATAAAATCTATTTGCCCGTATTCCCCAGGAGTTGCTCCTTGTTTCACAACTTCTCCTGTAACCCTCTTGGTAATTTTTGGGGTGATTAGCACAACAAATAGCACGTCTCTTAACTATTATGTCTGTCAGATTTTACATTTTTAGTCCTACAACCTATCTTTTTGGCAGTCAATACCAATGCATTTGCTCTTGAATGTGTTTCTCGATGCAATCTTTTAAGTAGACTTTCCATCATCTTTTCAGAAAGCAGCAATTGTTTAAAGGTGTCACCCACCATCCCTGATCATTCTTAGAACAATCTAATTGTTCTGGCAATTGATCTTCTCTCTCAGTATATTGTGGAGGTGATGATTCTAAACGAGGTGCTGGAATTAAGCCTCCTTCAAATATTGACTCTTTGAGAGCTGCT